GTATTATCCACATTGAGTGACACGTCAACTATCAGTATCTGACAGTTGTCTTATGCCACTTACCAATACTAACAAGGCTATTTTAAGACAGAGAGGTGCCTCTTGTTTTCCAGTAGCGCCATCTATGGCCACGAATTTGACTTCTTCCACGCTCATGCGCACATCCCGTTTTGCAACGAGGACTCATTCACACGCCATTCATCCGTCAGCATATTGTAGTCAGCATATAATCTCAGAACAGTCAATCTCTGATCCAGTACCCAGAGAGATATTGATTTGTTATGCGAACTTAAGGAACTTAGTGACCACAACAGATTTAAGATGCACCAATCACCATTTTACACACGACCCGCGGGCTTCGAACTCACATGAGTCCACTGACCTACCAGCCAGGCAATCGACTAACGGTTTAAAATATGTAAACTAAAAGAAAATTTACATTGTTTCAATGAATTGCTTAAAATTTACCAAATTTTTTTTATTACGAATCAAATTTTTATTATCTGTTAGTGGTGCTCTTCACTGTAACACAATAAGAACGCTTCTAAGCAGCGCGCTTGGTCTGACTTTCCTTAAGAAAGTGCGTGGCTCTCAACATGTTAAAGTTTTTAAAAAAAGCAGATGAGAAGTCTGCAGTTTTTTGGATAAGAGTACTAACATCAAATGTTTATTTGATGCCGACTAATTGAAAACTACCGACTTTCGGTAGTTTATGAATAATAATAGCATCACACACTTATACACATCACCCAACCATGGCCAAGCACCTGGCCTCAATTTTAGGGATGTATTCTTTAACGGCTATGGTAGAAATGTCAAGTAATTTTTGTCTTTAGTCAGACGACGTGGACAACGCCTGAGCTAGTACCCTCTCTCCAAATTTCCACACCACAACTTATGTCCACTCCGCACGTGACTTTCTAGCCATGGCATATTTAACTTGTAATATTAACTTTAATTTGCTAAAAACACTTTGCTGCTAGATACACACCAATTTGATACACACCAATTGTTTTGTAGTCCTCCAGGTTCGAATTCACCACCCCCAGCTCTACAACAAGCGATGTGAACTATTACTGACTGCGTCCCGTCGAGCTTCAATAGTAACATCGAATATACAACAGACTTTTCATCTCTTTTCTTTTATGAGAAATTCTTGCTACACATTTCATGATATAAAATGAACACACAATGAAGTTACGCCCAATATTTTATTTCTTACTTTTCCGTATATAACCATAGAAAAGTTATTATTTCTGTCAATTTTTATAAAATTTTATTGATGAACTGTAACAGGTTATCAATAAATCTTGTAGAGTTCTAAATTAGATCTTCTTCTGTACAATTCTTTCGGACAGCTTCCAGTAAAGATCTTTCTCTCAAACCCCCTTTTCTAGCCAGGTAATTTTTGTCTATGTCTGTGATACATTAGTCAAGACAAATCTAATAAAACTTCTGTAAAAAAAAAGTAGTTTAGAAACGAGATAGCTGAATTTTCATCCGAAATTTAAGCCACCTTAATGTTATCATCAGAAACTTCTTTTATGCACTTCTGAAGTGAATGCATTTTTATAGTTAATCATCAAATAAGTAAAGCTGTTTCCTGTTTCAAATGTAAAGTAATTAATTTCAAAGGGACTAAATTATAGGTCAGACTTTAAAGAAAGAAAAAACAATCTATAACCATCGTTATGAACCCCGGAATATAGCGATTATTCCGTTGAAGTGATGCTCTTAATGGTCCCTTCCGAACTGCTATGGCTTCTATAACCACTGTAATGAACCCGGGAAATAATGATTATCACTCCGTTGTAGTGTACGCTTTTAGTGTTCCCTTCCGAACTGCTATGGTTTCTATAACCACTGTAATGAACCCGGGATATAATAATGATCACTCCGTTGTAGAGAACGTTTTTAGTGTTCCCATCCGAACTACCATGGCTTCTATAACCACTATAATGAACCCGGGATATAATAATGATCACTCCGTTGTAGAGAACGTTTTTAGTGTTCCCTTCCAAACTACTATGGCTTCTATAACCACTGTAATGAACCCGGGATATAATAATGATCACTCCGTTGTAGAGAACGTTTTTAGTGTTCCTTTCGGAACTACTGTGGCTTCTATAACCACTATAATGAACCCGGGATATAATACACTCCGTTGTAGAGAACGTTTTTAGTATTCCCTTCCGAACTACTATGGCTTCTATAACCACTATAATGAACCCGGGATATAATAATGATCACTCCGTTGTAGAGAACGTTTTTAGTGTTCCCTTCCGAACTACTGTGGCTTCTATAACCACTATAATGAACCCGGAATATAATAATGATCACTCCGTTGAAGAGAACGTTTTTAGTGTTCTCTTCCGAACTACTGTGGCTTCGATAACCACTGTAATGAACCCGGGATATAATAATGATCACTCCGTTGAAGAGAACGTTTTTAGCGTTCTCTTCCGAATTGCTATGGCTTCTATAATCACTGTAATGAACCCGGAATATAATAATGATCACACCGTTATAGAGAACGTTTTTAGTGTTCTCTTCCGAACTACTGTGTCTTCGATAACCACTGTAATGAATCCGGAATATAATGATCACTCCGTTGTAAAGATTGTTGTTGTCCCCGTTGTCGAAATTTTTTAATGGTTTATGTGCGTTTCAGTGCGATTCATGATGGTCCAACATCATTTGATGGTCCCCATCATCCAACACTTTCTATTTTGCGTTCATGGGTTTTGATATGCCAACAAACTTGCATCATTCCATGATGGAAAATGCTACTTTAATACTATAATGGTTAACCATCAAGAGAAGTTTCTCATGGATCAACAATCGATAATGATCCGTGATGGTCCATGATGGTACCAATTACACATTTTAATGATGGTTTAATGGCAATTCTTGTTAGTTCTCAGGAGTATAAAATCAAAACAATTTGTCTTTTTTTTATGTTGGATCATCATAAATCAGTTCGGATTCCTACATTGGGATGATAATGATTCATCATCGTTCCAACATTTAATTTCTAAGAAACTATGATGGTTCAACATGAACAAACCATCAAAACGATTCTTATGTTGGGCCATCATAAATCAGTCCGAATTCCTATATTGGGGTGATGGTTACTTACAAATGGTTACCATATAAAAAAATATGATTGTTCATTATGGAATTATTGATGGTTACCATCGAAATTATGTTGGTCTATCAATGGAAAACCATCAAACATTTTTACTTGGGTAGGGAACCGTCGCTTAAGCTGACTTATTACTGAGTCATTAGACGGTTTTCTATAACCTGGTCCAATTGTATTTTGTTTTCGTTTGCAGACCTTCTCCAAGGCAATCTATGTTTGTACAGTTCAAGCCACAACAGTGCAATTTTAGATCTTAAAATGTGTATTAAATGGAATGCCCATTCTGATATCACTCAATGTTGTTAATCTCTTATGGATATTTCAGGATAATGGTCCTAATGCAGAAGTCCTTCAGGAGCTCAGTGAAAATGATCTTCATGGCTTGGAAACGGAGGAAATTCTTCGACATATTTCTGATCCATCTTTTGAATTGGAAAGTATATTTGCTGTCATTAATAATAATAATGGAGAAACCAGCAATAAAAGTGAAGATCTTTCAATGCTCCAACAACAACTTGAAGAAGAATTAGGACAAAATTTCCCGACCAATGACACTCTCCTTCCTTCCAACATTATTAAAGATGAAGTCATAGTCTGTAAGTTCAACATTCTTTTTTTTATTTCNGCTTCTATAACCACTGTAATGAACCCGGGATATAATAATGATCGCTCCGCTGTAGTGAACGTTTTTAGTGTTCCCTTCCGAACTACTATGGCTTCTATAACCACTATAATGAACCCGGAATATAATAATGATCACTCCGTTGTAGTGAACGTTTTTAGTGTTCCCTTCCGAATTGCTATGGCCTCTATAATCACTGTAATGAACCCGGAATATAATAATGATCACACCGTTGTAGTGAGCGTTTTTAGTGTTCTCTTCCGAACTACTATGGCTTCTATAACCACTGTAATGAACCCGGGATATAATAATGATCGCTCCGCTGTAGTGAACGTTTTTAGTGTTCCCTTCCGAACTACTATGGCTTCTATAACCACTATAATGAACCCGGAATATAATAATGATCACACCGTTGTAGAGAACGTTTTTAGTGTTCTCTTCCGAACTACTGTGGTTGTCTCCGTTGTCAAAAATTTTTTATGGTTTATGTCCGTTTCAGTGCGATTCATGATGGTCCAACATCATTTGATGATCCCCATCATCCAACATTTTCCATTTTGCGTTCATGGGTTTTGATATGTCAACAAATTTCCACCATTCCATGGTGGAAAATGCTACTTTAATACTATAATGGTTAACCATCAAGAGAAGTTTCTCATGGATCAACAATCCATAATGATCCGTGATGGTCCATGATGGTTCCTATTACACATTTTAATGATGATTTAATGGCAATTCTTGTTAATTCTCAGGAGTATAAAATCAAAACAATTTGTCTTTTTTTTATGTTGAACCATCATAAATCAGTTCAGATTCCTACATTGGGATGATAATGATTCAATCATCGTTTCAACATTTAATTTCTAAGAAACTATGATGGTTCAACATGAACAAACCATCAAAACAATTCTTATGTTGGACCATCATAAATCAGTCCGAATTCCTATATTGGGGTGATGGTTACTTACAAATGGTTACCATATAAAAAAATATGATTGTTCATTATGGAATTATTGATGGTTACCATCGAAATTATGTTGGTCTATCAATGGAAAACCATCAAACATTTTTACTTGGGTAGGGAACCGTCGCTTAAGCTGACTTATTACTGAGTCATTAGACGGTTTTCTATAACCTGGTCCAATTGTATTTTGTTTTCGTTTGCAGACCTTCTCCAAGGCAATCTATGTTTGTACAGTTCAAGCCACAACAGTGCAATTTTAGATCTTAAAATGTGTATTAAATGGAATGCCCATTCTGATATCACTCAATGTTGTTAATCTCTTATGGATATTTCAGGATAATGGTCCTAATGCAGAAGTCCTTCAGGAGCTCAGTGAAAATGATCTTCATGGCTTGGAAACGGAAGAAATTCTTCGACATATTTCTGATCCATCTTTTGAATTGGAAAGTATATTTGCTGTCATTAATAATAATAATGGAGAAACCAGCAATAAAAGTGAAGATCTTTCAATGCTCCAACAACAACTTGAAGAAGAATTAGGGCAAAATTTCCCGACCAATGACACTCTCCTTCCTTCCAACATTATTAAAGATGAAGTCATAGTCTGTAAGTTCTTTTTTTATTTCTACAATGAAATGAAATTATTGTCATATTTGTCAATGTAAAACGATTTTCCAAAAAAATACTTTTTAAAGAAAGTAGTTGAAATTGGAATAACAATTTCATTTGAAAGGGGATCCGAGGCTTTGAATGGTTAGTGTTTGAATTAGATTTTACAATCTTGACAAAAGTTAATCAATTTAGGTAATATTCTTAACACTATTTGATTAAACATCAAAATGCAACCGTGATTATTAAAATCATGAAAATATTAATAATCATTATTAAACTATTTTTTAGCTACAAATGGACTTAGTCCACTTTCAAAAATAATAGCTCATTGATTGCAGCTCTATATTTAGTTCGATAAAGTATTTTCCATCGAAATGACGTCATCGAAAAAAGTAACTTTTATTGCCATAACACAACTTAACTTTAAAATATAACTCTTAAAACTAAATCTACGACCGAAATCAGCTATTAGCTTATTTTACTTTTATCACTATTTAATAAAAAATTAAATAAATGAAATTAATTAAACATTTTCTCTTTTTCTTCTTTAAACTAGGTATTCTATTTCCTGTTAAATATCACTCGGGGAAAACTGGAACGTGATTTTCCAATCCAGCCCCAAATAAGAACTAAAATGTAATGTATGTACAGTTTGCAAAAATAATACGCCCCTTAAATTCCTTTGTATTTTCCCATAAAACTTCCAAAGACGCAATCTTAATAATTTAAAGGGGTAACGGTAAACATACTAATTAATTTGTGCTGATTAAAACTACAAAATCAGATACAAAAGTTACTTTGCCATAATTTGACGAATCTTTCCTCAAAATATAAAGGGTAGTTGCAATCAGAAAAATATGCTCACACTTTTAAGTCAGGTGAGCGGTCGAAAGTTTGTCCCCTTAATATTAATTTCACTTTTTTCGCAATGAAGTTATTTTAGAGCGTTAAAAACATTTTGCACAAAATAATAAGCTCGCTGCTTTTGTGTCTTTCCCAATAAAATTTTTGTGAGTTTTTAAATTTTTGGTGCAAGTGTAAATAATTTATATTCGTGTTACAAAATAAGAATCAGTCAGAAAAATACTTTATTAACAAATACTAAATTAAATGTTTGGTTATTTAAGTTACCATTGAAAAGTATATACAAACTATATACTTTTAAACATAAAATCAATATAATTATAAAACTAAATGCTTTGTCAATTCAAGTGTTTATTTCCTTATTTATTTATTGCGACGCATCAGAAATTCAATTTTCAGAATAAAAGTATTATTTCAAAAACAGAAAGATTGTTTCAGAAGCAGACAATAATAAGAAATTTAATAAGGGAATTTTTATTATTATTTCATTATTATTTTAAAGAATTATTTTTTATTATTTTATTATTATTTAAAAGAATTATTTATCATTTGAATTTTTTAAATAAATTTCTTCTGAAACTTATGGTTTTTTGTATTTCGTAACAATATTTCAATCAACATATACAATCAATCCTTTTAAGTTAAATCTGTTAATGATCTTCTTAGAAACTGTTAAGCCATCCAGTTATATAAGTTTTAAATTAAATATTTTCATACCTTAATTTAGTTCTTATGATACATTTTAACTTCTATAACTAACTATAGTGTCTTTTTTTTAATTTAATGAAATGAAAAAATAATTGTTTTGCTGTTTTTTTTTTCGTTATATATAATTTAGAAGTAAAGCTCTTCTCAAAAACTCTTTAATTTAAAACATGTATAATTTTTTTAAGAAATTTGTTGAAAAAATATTTAATTGAAGAAAAATATCAATTTCTAAATTTGTAATGACTAGGAATTTTAACTAAATTTGACCAGGAATATTAACTATCTTTTTAAGAAAAAAATGGAATTATTAAAATTGAAATTTTATTCCGTTCTTAATATTTAAAATTATTTTAATTTCTCGAGAATATTACGCTAATGTATACTTTATATAAAACTAAAAATAAATTTTACTTATGAACACATATATATGAAGTAAATATTTATTTTTATATAGTTAATTTGTTTATCATTAATGCATACAAAAGAGTTAATATATAATATAATAATATAATACATAATATATATACTCTAAGGAATATTCATCATTTTTCATGAATTTATTTATCAATTTCAATTAAGAATAAACTTTTATTGAAATAAAAATAAAGTATTTTAATAAGTATAGTAATAAGTAACTTCTATTTGGCTATGATAAAGAATTATTTTGCAATTTTAAATAAGCAAAAAGCTATATTAATTAGAAAAACATTAAAGCAGCATGTATTCTCGAGTTTATTTTATCTAATCCTCACTTGATAACAGCACCAGCATTAAACTCTTGCAATTTTAGTATACTTATTAATTGCAATCGAATATTTCGATCTGATTAATTATTAAGATCTGCTTGCTAATATGCTTTGATTAAGACAGTTTTCGAAGGCTTCGTCGTAATATGAAATAATGTTTTTTGAGAATAATATGCTATTTTTATAACTGCTGTGAGTTTACAACTGTTACTCAACTTTACTTTAAAAATTACAAATTAAGTTACTGTCTACGTTTATTTTAAAAATGACGCAAAACGTCAATATGGGAAAAAGTCACAGTTTTGTGAAAATGAAGAGTGTCTGAGGCAGCATAGGTTATTGACACTGTTTTTATCCCCATAGTTATGAAGGAATTGTTTTTATAGAGGAGTCACTTTACATTTTAGTGCTGTCATCTAATGACAATTAAAAGAACTTAAAATCTCTTCACTTTTGAAATATATTAGTTATTTTTCATGCGCCGCGTACATAGTTTTAATTTTTTATTAGGAGAAGATTATGAAAAAAGAACTTTTAGATATTTATACAAATTTAAAAATGTAAAAGGATCAATATATGATGAAACCGGTAACTCTTTAATAAATTTTACGATTGAAAAAATTACTAATATATATTTTTGTATTCTTCGTAATTGAATCTTTTCCCTAAGTATTACATGAGTATTGAAGACCAAAAAATTATTTTAATGAGATTTATCATAATTTAAAATATTTTTTTTCAATAAATTTGACAGATATTACTTCCTCAGCAAAAATCAAAAAATAAACATGTTTATTTCAGCGGAATTCACATTGCAAAAAAACTAAAATCTGCATATAAAAAAAAGTTAATTAAAGAAAATCGTGTTTTTGAAGTGTTGAAGGTTCATTAAAATTTATGCATTTTTAAAAACGAAAAAAATAAATTTAAATATAATTGCATTGTTTGCTTTAAAAAAAAGTTACTATTATAAGCTAAATTGTAAAAACTCGGAATTTAAAAATATATAAATGTTGACTTTTTCTTTTTTGTTTTTGGCAAAAATTATAAATTTAAAAAAAGAATAAAAAAATACTATTTCTTACTTTGCTCTTATTCTAGCATATTTAAGGAAAATTTATTCTAAAGTGTTTTCCTTGTATATGAAAAGAGTTTAAGTTGCTTCAAATTATTCTACTCAAACAAAACTATAATGTGATTTATTTTTAAATAATTAAATATAAAAAAATTACAAACACACGAAAGTTGTGTCTGCAAACTTTAAAGATATCATAGATACTAAATACTAAAAAGCAAAAGTTTTATGAAACATTAAATGATTTTACACTTTTTCAATAAAAATATAAACTTAAAATAACAATTTAATTAAGAAACTAAATAGATTTGAGGTCTAAAAAATATAATTAAATTAATAATAAAAATTTGCATGATCATAAATTTAATAGATTTTTAATAAAAAATACAAAGAAGTTATTGTGCAGAATTATTTTTTAGTTTGAAAGAAAAAAGTTTAAAGAAATTGAAATCTTTTCACATTTCTTTTAATTTTACGCCGTCAATTAGAGGCCGTTTTAGGCTTGATGTTTTTTGTTTGTTTCATTAATTTGAAGAAAAAATTGGGTTTTTTTTAACTTACATAAGTAAAAAGAAATGTATTTATATTTATTTATTTCAAATGAATCACTATTAAGAAAGGCTGGATTGAAAATATCAAAAGAAATCAAATTAACTGATGAAACTTCAAGGTGTTTCTTATAGTCTTATTTAATCTTTTTCTCAGACAATCAAACAGATTTTGATACTTTGAACACATTTTATTCAACCTTGGTTCATTTTAAGAACGTTTTTGTTTCTTTCTCTCTTTTTCCCTCCTTATAAGCAGAATAATTGAGAAAACTAAGGGAATTCGATGTCATATTTTCAGTTAACAGAAAATAAAGTAGATGGCGCAAAAAACTAAAATTTGATGAATTTAGAAAAGATGCTTTCTCACTAAGGTATCGCCATCTAGTGACATTTTAGAATTCCTCCATTTTACTTGTGACATATATTTAAAATACGTAAAACAACGCTAAGGGGAAAAGAAAATCAAAAATTAATTGAAATAAAATGGAAAAATAATGATCTTGCCATATTTTAAATCAGTTATATTTAAAATTTAAAGCTATAAAATAAATTATTATTGATGTAGAAGGAAAATTACTCATATGATGTAATATTTATTCTTAGTGTTAGCCTGCATGTTTAGAAGAATAAAAAATATAATATAAATGTAAACAAAAAAATTGTAATTGTATTTTTAAAACAGTTACACGTTTAAAATAAAAAAATTACCACAAAAGAAACTTTTTGATTGTGTTACAGAACATGATTTCAGGAATAGTGATTTTGCCGAATAGCCTAATACCGAATATTCGGCCAAAAAAAACTTCCGAGTAGCACCATTTTTTTTTTAAATCATTAATAAATATTATGATTTATTATTAATAAGTTTAGTTATAATAGAAAAATAATAAAAACTTAGCTGTATTATTGGTATGGGTAAAAGGAAAAAACTTTTACTGAAATGTTTAAGATAATAAAGATAATTATAGATAATAAGAAATATTTAAGATTATAAGAATCTAGTAGCTACTGAAAAAAAAAACTAAACTTGAAAGGTTGAAAGAAAGAGAG